GTTATGGTTTGGAAATATTTTTAAGTCTCAATTCTGAAAATCATTTTAGTTTCAAAAGTCATTTTTCAATCCATTTTTGTTTATTTGCGGAAATATTTCTTAAAATAGTATTTTTAAAAATAACTTTAAAACAATTTATTTTAATTTAAAAAAGCCATTATAATTTAATTATCAGCGCAAAGCAATTTGGTCAATTAGTTTAACTCGAGATCATTAAGACATTTAAATATATCATTTAATAAATCATATCTATAAATTAGTATTCAATACATTAAGCTCACAGAATATTCTTGCATTTATTAAACCATTACAATACCACCAATAGTTATAAATTATAACTTATAATACGGCCATAACTTACGCTATTTCGCAATTAATTCACATTTATTTTCCAATATTTATGAAACAATGAGTGGAAAAATATGAAACATTTAGTTAGGGTTTCTTATAATCATCAGATAATATGACTAAACATACGATACAAATATTTGAAACTTGATCATTTTACCTGAAAACCAATAAAAAACATACACATTGAACAACATGGTAAAAACCCAATTACAGCTGACCTCCATTAATGAACTTTATAGCATAAATGTATTGTGTGAGTAATTGACCATCATTATTTTTATACGTCAAAAGCATAATACTATTCAATAGTATTGCCGGTTAACACACAAGTGATATAATTGGCATCAAATCAGACTATTTTCCATAAATTGGTTATAATTTCAATTCAAATGATATCCGAAGCGATGGACGAAACACCGATGGTATGACACGTGGATATAAAAGCGACCATGGTCGGGTCGGGTCAAACTAATAATTACCATTCAATTATAGGACCTATCGTTGAAGACATGCGCTCCGGGAGTGGCGGCGGCTAAACCTCGAGCGAAGCGGGCGGTGGCGCACAGGTGTGCGCCCAAACGCGGCGGTGGTGTTGACGGCCCGTCGACCGCACCCTCACTGATGGCAAACTCAGGTCAACTCCGACGAGACATTCAGGCGGTGTTGACGACCAGTGCCACGGCTTGGAGCGCATCCAAGTTTCGGTGGCGATCCGATCCCGAAGTGGTGGTGAACTCTCTGAAGGGCATGAGTTTCACGTTCGCCGGCACTCTGGAGAGCCTGACGCCCGCCGACGCCATCGAAATGGTCGAGTGCTGTGGCGGACGTGTGTTCAAGACGTTGGCCGCCAAGAGTCAGT